TAGGGTGAAACTGTGGTAATTTCATTGTGGGTTTCAAAGCATAAATCCTTCTATTTAATTGAAGTAAAAGTCACCAAGAAAGTAAAATGTTCTTACAGTTAACCAGCTACCAATATGTTGTTTGTTGCTCCCTGCTTCTACCTCATTCACACTGCTGCACCGTGCACATCAATATTATGGATTTATATACTACATTATCGAATTTTCCAATACAGGGCTTTTTGATATCTATATATTTCTTATGCTGGGGAGTCCAGCCAGGATGTGTTTAACTTGCAGAATTGCCAGGTTAAAAATAAGGAGGAAAAAAGCCATGTTTTCTTTCTTTTAATTTAGGTATGCTTTAAGTCAACATTCTGAATGTATCATGTATAATTACCATACATCCTGACTGTTTAATAACAACCACAATAAGTGTTAAAGCATAGCTAAACCCAAAAACACCAATTTCATATATTGAAGTTTACCAATCCTTAGATGTGGTAGCTGGGTTTTTTTCAAGGTTTTGTTTTCTTTTTTTCACCTAGTGATCCTGCCAGTAACACACTTCCTGCCCAAGGATGGCATTGCTCACTCACTGTACTGATTGTAGCTATGGAGAAGCACGATTGTCACCCTACCCTGCCCTCCTGATTTCGACTACAAAACCAAGTACTTCACATAAGTCAGATGGAAAATCTGATGACATGTTTTACAGGAATGCAGTTGGTCTAAATAAAAAAAAATAATGATAATGCATGCATGGCATTGGCTTACACTGCCACAATATATATATACATACACACACACACACACACAATTTTTGTTGTTTAATGTAAGGCGTAAGCATATAAAGCTTGTGTTATGCAGTTGTAGATGCCAGATTTTAAGCACTATCAGTATGCATTTGCAAAGCGTTAAACCAGTATATGGATTGCCATACACATTACAATCTGACCATACAATCTCTGCACATTTAACTTTAGAGTTACCAAAACTTTGCAATATAAGGAGCTTCCTAATATATCCAATGAATGTGTGTATAATCAGGCAGGCCCTTGCACTACACCATTTATACCTAGATCTAAAGATTGTAACGTGTGGTAAGCTTCAGCTCCATGGAGAGACAAGACAGGGCATGATCTGGCCACTGAAACAAATATGCAAGTTCATGAAAATGGAAGGGCCTATGAAGGGAAGAGGGGAAGCACTGCAAGTACTGGCCTTTCCCAAGGGAAAACAATAGTGAATTGCTGAAAAATCCAATCCTGCCAGTTAACTCTTCTCTGAGCAGGCTTGGCCATCAGGGATCAATGAAGGCCTACAGACTAGGGTTGCCACCTGTCCGGGATTGACCCAGACAGTCCGGTTTTTGAGTCCTGTGTCCGGGTTACAGGCCAGCTGACCCCCGACACAGGACTCTAAGTGCCGAAACCGGCACTTTAAATTGACAGATGCGGCTGTGCGGTCAAGACAGAGCAGAGAAGGTGGAATGCTTTTGGCTACTGTGATTGTGGAAGTTTTTTGTATCCGGCCAGAGGTCTTCATTTTATAAAAGTAGAGTTTAAATAAACTACACTATGTATTCTCATCTGCTGTATGAGTGACATTGTTGGAAGAAAAGAGGCTTGTGACCTTTGGTTATGAGAAGCTGAGGCGTGAGCAGAGAAACAGCAGGATCGGCAGTATAATTGTGTTTTGGTGGAGTGAAAGCAGCCTTTGACATTGAGAGCAAGTTTAACAGCTGTATGAGAAAGGTTTTTATCCCTCCCGTCAGCAGGCAAAGCGGATCTGCGTTATCAGTAGACATGTGCGATTCCTTTCGTTACGAATCGAAATTCGTACGAATTTTCCTGAAATTCGTAAATTCGGAAGCATCCGAAATCCGAATTGCAGTTTCCGAATTATATCCGAAATACGAAATTCCGTTAACGAATTTCTTTGAAACAGGAACTAATATTACCCCTGTAAATGAGGTTGAACAACATGACAAGATTTTTTTTTAAATCCGAAATACGGATCCGCTGCTGCTGAGGGTTGCATTACAATACACAGGCAGGAAATACGAAATTCGGATACGGAATCCGTTAACGGAATTCGCATTTTGTTTGGTTGACCAATCAGAGGTTTTCTCTTTTGCTGCTGACAGTTGCATTACAAATTACAATACACAGGCAGGAAATACGAAATTCCATTGACGTATTTTCGTTCCATTACGAACATTCGTTATATTGAAGTTAAAAAGCAAAGTACATTTATATTGGAGTTTATGGTAGTTTTTTTTAAAATCCGGAATCCGAAATTCGGATACGGAATCCGTTAACGGAATTCGTATTTCGTTTTGGTTGACCAATACGAGGTTTCTCTTCTGCTGCTGAGAGTTGCATTACAATACAGGCAGGAAATACGAAATTCCGTTGACGTATTTTCGTTCCGTTACGAACATTCGTTATATTGAAGTTAAAAAGCAAAGTACATTTATATTGGAGTTGATGGTAGTTTTTTTTTATCCGAAATACGAAATTCGGATCCGGAATCCATTAACGGAATTCGTATTTCGGATAAAAAAACAACTACCACATCGACTCCAATATTACCAAAGGTATTTTTGCTTTTTAACTTCATCATAACGAATGTTCGTAAAGTTTTCGAAAATGTGCCGAAACTAACGAAAATTCGTATTTCGTACGAATCCGAATTGAGTTTCGGATACGAATTACGAAATACGAAATAACGGATATTCCGAAACGGAACTAATTTTTTTAGGGTGCACAAGTCTAGTTATCCGACCTTATTTATGAAGGTCTGACAAAGAGGTGAAAGGTTGTATTTTGGGAGCATTCATGAGTGGAGAATAGCAGTGGTGGAGGATCGCTTTATTTGCAGTGGGACTATGTTTCTTGGATGTTGAAAAACTATATTTTATGTTTGAATGTGTTGTCTTTGATTGAAAGCACCTGTTATTAGTTTGAGATTTCATTCACTTATATGTTTGTTCATGGATATATTTATTTGTATTGTTATATTGCCTGGTTTATGCATTTCTTTAGTTCAATAAATATTTACAGGTTTATATTGAGGTTAATTTGAGAGTCTGCACAGCCCACCTGAGAGCCCGCACCACCCACCTGAGAGCCCGCACAGCCCACCTACGAACGCGCTCAGCCCACCTGAGAGCTTGCATAGGCCACCTGAAACCCTGGAGACATTAGGGCACTACCCAAGAAAAACACAGAGTATGCAGCTTCACATTATTTTGTACTGCTGTATAATGTATTGCTGGGATTTGTAGTCCTCTGTAGCTGCTCTCCTTACTCCCTCCTCTGGCTGCCTCTCCTCGCACTCTCCTCTATATTCTCATAAAAAGAAAACAATTGTTGTGCGGAGCGCTAGAGTGTTTGGGTTTTCCTTGAAGAAAAGGAGGCAACCCTACTTCAGACATACCAAGGTATTTTGATCCAAACTTTCTGTAATGTCTGTAGACGCAATAACACTCTGGGAATATATAGACACAGCAGTTGATTTGTCCACTGCATGTGTCTACTACAGGTAGAGAGTCTTGCTATAACCATTATTTACCACTGTGATATTACCAATGACTGAGGTCCCTTTCACACTAACAGCATGCACTACCGCACGACCACTGGTACATGCTGTTACCCATTTTATACAACTTTATTCAATTGTTACAAAGTGACATTTCTTTCAGTTCTGTTCACCCCAGCATGTTGTGATGTGGTGTAGTTTGATGCAACATGCTGTGGTGCATGCAGTACGTTTCTCAATGCATACCACCGCAACATGTGACTTCATAGAAAACTAGACAAATTGCCTTGTCTATGTGTTGAGACTGCACAGCCTTGCCTAACACATTTTATGTAAACAGACGCTGAAGCCATCATTAGATTATTATTATTATTCAGGATTTATATAGTGCCAACAGTTTGTGCAGCGCTTTACAATATTAGGAAGACATTACAATCACAATGCTATTTAAGACAAGATGGTAAGGAGGGCCCTGCCCGAGGGCTTACAATCTAGAAATGCAAATGCCTCCTGTCAGATTAACCTTCACTCACAGTAGGCACATACTATAGGCAACAGAAGCAAATGAGTCACTTTTTTCTGCAAATTTTTTTTTCTCATAATGCTGACACTGTCCTTCCTTCTGGAGGGTGGCTACATTTTTTCCCCATGGTCCCTGTGTATGTTGTAAAGTAGCCACCACTCCAAGCTCGCTCCCGTGATGGACTACAATCTCACATTTAGTTTACTAATTCGTATTGAGATTGTAGTCCATTACGGGAGCCAGCTTGGAGCAGTGGCTACTTTACAACACACACAGGGACCATGGGGAACAAAAGTAGCCACCCTGCAGAAGGAAGGACAGTGTCAGCACCAATTCAGAGATGATTTGAGGATCTACAGCCGAGTGATACACTAATAAGATACATTTTGTTAACAGTTAGGGTACTTGAATGCATGTTTAAGGTTTAAATACTGAGTTTAGTGTCTGCTTAAAATACACGACTGTCCCCAGGGATCTTGTTAGCAGATTTTTTTAATATTTAGTTTAGTAGGAATATTTATTTTGCCCATTCATACATGACATGGTATGTTATTTGCACATTGCAGAATATTTCATAGTATATGTTAACAGATCATATCAGTCCCTCCCAATTAAACTTATTGTCTTATGCTCCCAGCACAAATTCATAACTAAACATACACATATGAAAACCAATTAAAACAGAAACCATTTATCATACCTGTATGTTCTTCTATGGACATATCACACTAGAGAACCTCGAAGAAACCCAAGCAACAGTGGAAGAACTCATAACTTTACGCATATTGGTTGTGGTGGTATTTGAACCATGTATGGGAATCTCTTCTTTTATATTTGTTAGTAAGTCACTGTTACCAGTAATATTCATGTGCCAGTGAAATATTAGCAAAATATAGACACAAGCAGTAATAGAGTAAGGACTATATTTTTACATAATGTATTCAAAACTTACCCCATTTTTATCAAAGGCTCTGAACATATGCTCCACATAGTCTGCTGCCTCCTGGTTGTCTTGCACACCAAAAAAACGTTTAAATTCATGCATAAAAAGAGTTCCGCTAGGACATTCTACCACAAATTTTTTATACCACTCCTGGAGCTCTTCTACATCAATTTCCACTTTGTTCGTCTCCTCACTGAGATGCTGACCCATTTTAAAAAATCCTGCAATACGAATTGCCTCCTTTCTCAGTCTCTAATCTTATTCACTGATTCACTCTTCAATCTTTTCCTTTTTTTATTGTCTTCAAATGTGGTCTACAAAGAATATGCTATCACCCACGTGACTTGTGTTCCAACCTCCACAGGCTGCATTCTCAATATGTCTTCTGTTGTCTTGTAAGACAATCAAAGCAAACTATACAATCTGCAGGGAAAAAAGGCCTTTTATGACTAGATCATAAATAGACTTGCGTGCAGTTATCTCCCAGTTGAAAACATACTCTTCTTATCAGGACATGATCAAGGGCCAAAATATGATGAATGATCTCAGATTTCCCTGTTGAATTTTCCTATTCTGTTCAATAAGAACTTAGTTTAATAGGTCCAAGATATACTCTTGAAAGAGACTGAGCCTACTTAATTTTAGAACTGTGTATCTGACTCGAAATGCCATCCTGCTGCTTCTGTGCTGAGCCAAGTCTTCTCATTGTATTCCATCATTGATAAGTTAAAGGATGAATAAAACACATCCACAATTCAACAATGTTTTAGATTTAAGAAGTCCAGTTTAGATCAGTCTGATTTTTGTAGATTTCTGTATTTATTTCCCTATGTTGCTGTAGCTGGTAGCTGGTTTGTGCAGGGAGCACAGCAGAGGGAGTGAGGGAGTGAAGCTACTTAACTAAATGCACCATGTGTTGGCTGAAATAGATAAGAAGATCTAAGATAATTAGAAGAATCTCATAAAGACCTAGATGTTCTCCTGTCAAGCCTCTGTTAAGGGCACAATAATGTGTCTGTGTGTTGTCCAGATGAAATGTGAGTATATAATAAAATATGATTATGTATATAATAAAATAGTAATACATTGTTCAACCAAAATGATGATACACACCTGCATTAATATACACAATAAATGGTTACACTCATATTCATTAATACATCAAAGTAAATGGAAAGAGACATTGTAGTCTAAAAAAGGGGCACTTACAGGCAGTGGGTCCTAGAAAGAGCAACTGCATTGCCCAGATGAGGACCAGACTGGGGTTCCACTTTAACCACTTGATGACTGGGGTGTTTACACCCCCTTTCTGTCCAGGCCATTTCTCAGTATTCAGAGCTGCGGTACTTTGATTGACATTTATTCAGTCATTCAACGCTGTACAGAAATTAATTTTATACCATTTTTGGGGGACAGATGGAGCTTTCTTTTGGTGGTATTTAATCACTACTGGGGTTTTTATTTTTTACTGTATAAAGAAAAAAGTAAGACAATTTTGAAAAAAAAAACAGTTTTCCCTACTTTATGGAAACTTTATAAAACTTTTATCATTACCCAATTTTTTTGTAAAATATAAAAGACGGGGTCACGTCGGGTGGATAGACACCAAACATGTCAAGCTTTAAAATTGCTTGTGCCTGTGAATTCGCAAAAAACTACCATACCCACAATTGGCCATAGGTGATGCTTTACAAGCTTTTCCTCCTCATCAGTTTAGTGTTATCAGTGATTGATGGCTCTAAAATTATTGCTCACACTTTGACGTTCACAGTGATATGTAACATGTATGGCGCAATCATCGTTTTCACATGTAGGCCCACCTGATGCATGTTTGTATGTGTATGCAGGGGCCGGGGACTTTAAATTTTTTTATTTTTTTTATTTATGACTTAAATGTTTTTGTAACTTACATTTTTTTTCTTTTTTTTTTCCACTTAACTGTATTGCTATCACACAGTGGGATAACAAGCCTCCTATGTGATAGCCAATATACAGTGACTAGTCCTCTTTATGTAGACATCAGGGGAGACACAGGGCCCCCCAGAGAAGCAGTAGCTGGGAATTATAGTTGAATGTGGAAGTGATGTAATATACATCACTTCCTGCATTCAGAGACTGGCGAGGAGATCAGAGGGAGATAGTGTACTGCTCTCCCTTTGATCTTCTGTCACAGAGCCGCGGTGCTGGTCCCGGTCCTGCACCGGGCACAGTGGATCTCGGGGTCTGCGGCGGCGGAGGGGGGGGGCGCACACCCGCATGCAAAATACAAGCGATCTGGTGTCTCTACAGATGCCAGAACGCTTGTATGTAAACAGCCATCGCTGGCTATTTACATTTTAAGCAGGTCTCCTGCTCGTGCGGGCCGCCTAGCGGTGGGCTGGAGCGGGCCGGAAAAGGGCATCTAAAAACGCCCATCTGCAATCAAGGAGCCACCGTCTTGTAATTAAACGGCCGGACAGCTGGGGGTTAAAGTTATATATACAGTATGTTAGGGATGTTCCGATACCATTTTTTGAAGACCAAGTACACGTATAAGTACTTTCCCTCAGGTACTTGCTTATACCAATTACCGATACTTTTTCTTAAAGGGACATGTGAAATTTTTTCTAAAACAATACAGACTAATGATTATAGGGCAGTTTCTTTAAAATTATGTCACTGCAAAGGACAAGGTTTAACCTTTGCAATGCTAATCCAATGCTTAGCATTTTCCGCTGTTAGAGAAAATTAAACCATGCTTTATAGGGGGTTTTTTTGCTTTCCTCTGGATCAACATTGGGTTATCGTGGGCATAGCGTTCTGTTTAGGCTTTTCTTCTTTTTTTTATTTCACTATAGGTTGAACTCAATGGACTTGTATCTTTTTTCAACCTGGCAAACTATGTAACTGTGTAATTATTCTCATCCGTCAAGCATCTAGGACAACAGATTAGGAATACATGGTTCTATTGGATGGATTTTAGTTTTCTTCTGACTATTGCGAATTATCCTTAATTTTGAATGTGGCTTTCATACTTTTGTATGCCTATTTAATATTGATAATATATAATAGACATGTAAGATTAATTTTGTTCCGAATTGAAATTCGGACTGATATCGGCATATTTGGAAATTTGGATTTGGATTTGCAAATTTCCGAATGATAAAAAATAAATTCAAACAAATATGAATTTTGTGGTACAGAAAAATTTGGATGCATCCTGTTAGAGCTGGTAGGAATTTTTGGGGGAACCCCAATGGAAAAAAAAAGCGTGGGGTCCACCCCAAAACCTGTTACCAGACCCTTCATTCAAGCAGTGGCCTGGCAGAGTAGGAAAAGAGTGGGAACAATCGTTTACCCACCCTGCACCGTACCAGGCCACATGCCCTCAACATGGGGAGGGTGTATCACCATTTGGACAACCCCTGGCAAAGCACCTTGTCCCAACGTGAATGAGGATAAAGGCCTCTTCCCCACAACCATGGCCCAGTATTTGTGGGGTCTGCAGGCAGGGGGGCTTGTAGGAATCTGGGTGCCCCCTTTCATAAAGGGGGCACCCAGATACCACCCCCCTCCCGTGAATAAGTAAGAGGTAGTTGGTACCCCCTACTCATTCACCAGATAAACAGTAAAATAGTAAATAAACACACATCACTGGTTTGTAAAGTCCTTTATTAGTAAATAGAAACAGAATGTAAATCCATTGTTAATCATGTCGTCCCTTGATGTAGATCCTCATCAATCACAATGCCTACTGCTCGCCAACTAAACAAAAGAAAAAAATTCTGCTGCCTGCTACCGCATCCCCACCAGGCGAACTCTCGCCATTAATGACAGCTCTGTTCCTGAATGTAAACAAAATGGGCAGAGTGAGCCATGACGTCACATGACTTGCTCTAACGCTTTAATTACATTCTGTGACAGCTCTTGGTCCCCTAATGGCATGTAAACAAAGGGGCCGAACAAGTCCCGTGACATCACAACTATCTCCACTTATCAAGACGTGGTATCGTATAAAAACGTATCAAGCCGGTGTGAGAAAAAATTTCCCAAGCAGAGCTAAAGACAGCAGGAAGATTTGTAAGGTGATCTAACCCTTCACTACTTCTACAACCTCTGATACAGCCAAATTCTGGTCATTCTGAACAAGCAATGTTCCTGCACTTCCTGGAAGTGATGGAACTTACTCACCACTTTCCACACATTCCTAGTGGCCAAAGGAGCAGCCCATCAATAATAATAGTCCAATAGAAATGTGGGGGGATAAGAGAGCAGTGGCAAGCTGCTACCTAGAAGTGTTGGGGTTTTGCCCATTCAGAGTGGCAAGAATTTGTGGATAGCAGAGGTGAACGAGAGCTGCTGCCTCTAAGGCCTTGTTCACACCAAGCGCGTTCCAGGAGCAGAGCAGAGCAGTTACAGACCGGAGCAAAACTGCGTCCAATGTATTGCAATGGTATTTTTAGCTACAGTTCACATTGCAGCGTTACGTTCCAGAGCAGGTAAAAAAACTGCAGCAGGCCCTATTTTACCTGCTCTGGAATGCATGCAAACGCATCAAAAACGCATGTACACGCCCTGGAGCGCACTGAAAGCCCATCAAAAATGCGGCACAACCCACTGCACTGCGTGTGCAGAAACTCATGCAGATCTGCTCTGCATTTGGTGTGAACAAGGCCTAAGTGCCTGCACTTTATACCTGTAGGAACTCTATTTTATAAGTGCCACAGTCAATTTTAGACTAAATGTTCTAGAATGTTCTTATTTTTTGCAGATTTTACATACACTGCGGAATCTGAGCTAAAAGTTTCAGTTTAATTAATCAGCTATTTAACTGTAGTATTGATAAAATACTGATTAAATAAATAAGTACTCAACTAAAGATCCTTTTAGCAATGTACAAAGTTAGCAGTAAGGCTGCATACCCACAATTGTTTCACAAAATACCTATGTGCATTGAGTAACAGGGCCCAATACACATCAAGGGCTTTGGATGTCTATTGACTTTTTCTATATTAAAATGTAAGTATAATGCCCAGCTTTTCTAATACCAGATTGATCTTCTATAATAGAGTATAATTATATGATTTCATAACACCAAGACCATGGTAATGTAATTGATTTAAGCAATCAATTTAATAAGAATATAAACCTGTTATGTAAAAATATTATATAAAGTGTATTACTATGAATAGGAAAGGATGATATCTCATTTCATAAGTTAGGTGACAAAT